ACAAAAAGCGAAGATTGAAAACTGGTATGTTGGGGGCTGGGGGTTTAGCTCAGCGGCATAAGCACCTGCCTTGGAAGCAGGCAGTCGTGAGTTCGATCCCCGATACTGATAAAAAGGAAAAAAGACAAAAAAAGAAAAAAAAAAAAAAGGAAAACTGGTATGTTAAACTAAGAAATCTTTTGTATAGCAAAGATATCATCAACCGAGTGAAGAGACACCCTACAAGTGGAAGAAACCTATAGAGGGGGAAGCTGTCCATCTGAAAGAGAATTAATATCTAGCCTTATGAGGCGCACAACAGTGAAAAAACAGGTGATTTGATTAAACATTGTGTAAAAAAACCTGAAATTATACTTTCTCAAGAGAAAATATAAAAATATACATACAAATGGCCAGTAAGTGTCTGAAAAAATGGTTAACACTGCTAATCATTAGGGAAATGTGAATCAAAACCCTCGTTAGATGCCATCTCTTCCCAGTTAGAATCACTTATTCAAAAACAGGAAACTGGTGGTGCCTGCCTGGTCCCGGCCCATGGGTGGATGAAGCAGGAGAATGACTGTACTTTTTTCCCTTCAGGTTTTATTTTTCATTGGCACACACATGTTTACGTTATCACCATGAATTCAAGGCTGGTTTAGGGTATATAGTGAGTTTAAGGCCAGCCTGAACTACATATAAGACTCTGTGTCCAAAAAAAAAAAAAAAGCCAAATAAAACACAAAACATAACAAGGGTTGGTAAGGATGTGGAGAAAGGAGAATTCTCCTACACCCTGGGCAGGAATAAAAATTAGTACAGCCATTATGGAAAACTGTGGAGGCTTTGCAAAAAGCTAGAAATAGAACCCTGTTTTTTTTGGTCTTTTTGAGACAGGGTCTCACTATGCAGTTCAGGTTGGCCTTGAGCTCACTTTGTAGGAATTTTTTTTTTTTTTTATCGGTACCAGGGATCGAACTCATGACTGCCTGCTTGCAGTATGCCACTGAGGTAAATCCCCAGCCCCCGTTGAGCTTACCTTGTAGCCCAGGCTGATGAATTTGCAGTGAGCCTCCTGCCTCAGCCTCCCAAATGCTGGGATTACAGGTGTGCACTACCACACCCAGCTCCTAGAAATAGAATTTCTGTATTATCCAGAATCCCATTACTGGATATATATCCAAAGGAACTGAACTCAGGATGCCGAAGAGCATTTGCATTGGTACATTTAGTGCAGCACTATCCACAATAGCCAGGATATGGCATCAAAGCTTTGCCCAGGGGCAGTATCATAGCCAGCAAAATTTATCCAAAGCATCATTATTGCTAATTTAAAAGATGGCATCAACCTCAGGGCGCATTAAAGGATTAATGAGTAAAGAAAATCTGGCACCTGTACATAAGTGTACACTATTCAGTCATGAAAAAGAGACGATTATGTGTGTGACTGCCAAGCTGCTCTCTCCCGAGCAATGGAGCCCCTTGCCTCCATGCTTTCCTAACCTTTCCTTCAACTCTGCTCACTGAGATATGCAGAGCTGGCTATATTGTTCCCTTAGTTGCTAAAAGAATGCGATTGAGGGTGCCAGGGATAGAACTCAGAGTGGCACCTGCCTGGCAACGGAAAGGTCCTGAGTTTGATTCCTGGTACAAAAAAAAAAATGATGGAATCTGACAGAGGGGCCAATGAGTCTCATTGCAGCCCAAAAGCAAGAACTGCCCTCCACTGCTGATGGCTGGAATGGAGACTTGAGCAGGACCTGCAATTCCAGGGATAAGACATGAAATAACATCTCAGCTGAGGCCATGGGACTCAGAAAGAATTATCCTCCCTCAAAGTAAAGGTGCCAGCCTTGCATACATCAAGCTATCCTTGTATTGCTGAGTGGAGGCCTTTGTGCCTGGTACAAAATTGCTGTTTCTCACTAAAGCTTGATGCCTGCAAAGTTTCTTTTTCCTAGTACTCTGCTGTGACGCCCATCTACCTCCCCAGCTGATACCAATAAAAACCATGAGCTTTTAGACTTGTAGTCTTTTGTTCCACAGGGAATACTGGGTCATCCAAGATCTCCTCAACTGCAGAATATTTTCTTTCTTTTGCATCTGTGTGCCCTGTTGCTCGGTGGGAGACCTGAACCTTCTGAGGGGGTTTTGTTATTGTCATTTGCAAGAACATTGGTGGAACTGGAGAATAATGTTAAGTGAAGTCAGTCAGATGCATAAATACTCCATATTCTCATTTATATGTAGAAGTTAACATTAAAGAAATAGAGTCTCTATTTTTTTTTTTTGAGACAGGGTCTCTTTATCTAGTTCAAATTAGCCTTGAACTCACTATGTAGCCCAAGCTGGCCTCAAACTCATGGTGATCCTTTCGCCTCACCTGAGAGCTTGGATTACAGGTGAGCACCACCATGCCAGCTCAATACCTTATTTTTTCCCCTGAAGTTCTGGGGATCCAATCCTGGGCTTTGTATATGCTAGGCAAATGGTCTATCACTGAGCTAAAGACACAACCCCAGAAGTAGAAAACAGAATAAACCAGGCATGCTGATGCATGCCTGTGACTCCAGTACTCTGGAAGCTGAGACAAGAAGACTGCTTTGAGTTTGAGGCCAACCTGGGCAACATAATGAAATTAAAGGCCAGCCTGAACTACACAGCAAGACCCTGTCTCAGAACAACAACAGCAACAACAAAGGGCTGGGGATTTAGCTCAGCGGCATAAGCGCCTGCCTTGTAAGTGTGTGGTCATGAGTTCGATCCCTAGTACCGATAAAAACTAAAAAGAGAAAAAAAAAATTAAACAACAAAATGAAAACAACAGAATAATCATTACCAGGGCCTTGGAAGGGTATGAGGAGGAGATGGAAATAAAATGTTTAAAAGGTTAAAAGGCTAGGCTGGGGATTTAGCTCAGCAGCAAAAGCACCTGCCTTGCAAGCACATGGTTGTGAGTTTGATCCCTGGTACCGGAAAGAAAAAAAAAAAAAAAAAAAAAGGTTAAAAGTCTGTAGGTGGATAGGAGAAATAACTTGTAATGTTCTGTAGTACAGTACAGTAATTTCAGGTGATAGCAACTAATGCGATATTTCAAAATAGCTAGTAAGAGGATTTTGAATATTCCTCTTCCACATTTAGTACACAGAAGTGTTCAAAGTGACAAATGTGAGACATGCATGATGGAGCACACCTGGAATCTTAGTGCTCTGGGAGGCTGAGGAAGGAGGGTTACAAACTTGAGACCAGCCTAAGAAATTAATGATTTAATGAGGCTCCGTCTCAAAATTAAATAAAAAAATCTGCTGAAGGATGGAACTCAGTATAAAGGCCCCCCTGCATTCAATTCCTAGGACCAACACACACACACACACACAAATAAAGTGAAATACATGCTAAATACCTGGTCCGATTATTATATATGCTATACATGTGCCGGGAATTCCAGTTACTTGGGAGGCTGAGGCAGGATCTGAAAAATTTAAGACCAGCCTGGGCAAGACCTTGTATCAAAATAAAATGGTCTGTGGATGCTCCCCCCAAAAAACTATACAGGCATTGAAATGTCATGCTGTACCTATAAATGTCAATTACTATGGTCAATTAAAAATAAACATTAAAATGGAAGCAAAGTGATTAGCTAAACGATTCTGTGCATTTTACATGTTTCTACTGCGTGTATGAAGACATATTATATACGTATGTGTACAAACGCGAGGTTGGAAGATCCATAATTATTCTCACTATTCTCCTTTTCCCCCCTCCATACTTCTCTTGGGGTTAACGTACTTTAACCTTAACTGTTCTTGGTTGTTTCAGCACAGGGCGCAGCCAGTAGGGGGCAAGAATCACCCAAGCGTGCTTATTACCTAAGCAACGGAATCAAACAGCATGATCAGAATGACTTTACAAAAGGACTGCTGAGAAGTTAATGTACATAGTCTATGTTAGTCCACTTAATAATAACTCAAAGACGAAAAAAAAATAAGTGAGAAACGGTAGGGTAGCTCTATCTTGCAGTAATCATGATTCCAGAGCAATTGGCCAGGTGGCCGCTGTGTGCGGAGCCCAGAGTGGATCTGCGGAGCTTACGCTCCTCACCATGGGATAATGGCGTGAACCAGCCGAGGGCCTGTAGGTTACTTGTGGTTGCATCCTCAGGAAAGTGCTTTGAGCAAGACTAGGACGCAATGGTTATGTGAATACTTTCTCTGGGATGCTTAGGAAATGAGGTTTTCAAAGTAACAAAAACCCCACTAGGTAACTTCCTGGGCCGCAGCTAACCTCCAACAGGATTCTGAAAATAGCTTCGGGCCCCTCCCAGCCGGACTTTGAAAGCAGCTGTAGGACGCATGCGCACGGCCCCTTGGATGACCTCCTGGTGGCACAAAGAACGCAGACCTTCTTCCCGACAGCCCGCGCGGGAGAAAAGGTGGGGGTAATTCTCGCGAGGTTTTCGCGGGCGCCGGCGGAAGCAGTAGACACGTGACTGTCCTAGGCGGCCTTCGCCTTCCCCCTCCCCCTTCGCGGAAACCCGGCCCCCTCACCCTTCGCCCACCCTAGAGCCGCGATAATGGACCGTTTGGGTTTCGGAATTCCCTTGGATCCAATCACTGGTACCAGGCCAGCAGGAGCCGGCGGAGTCCGTTTGGGGTGGCGAAAGCAGGGGGCGGTCAAGATGGGGGGGGGGAATCATCTTCCTTCACCTAGGAGGAAGGCGGGGTGGGGAGGGGAGCCGGGGACGAGGTGGGGGGGAGGAAGTCACGTGGGGGCGCGGCCCGCGCAGCCCTTGCGCGGCGTCTCGCTCGTTGCTCCGCCCCCTCTTGCCGGCGGGCGGGGGGGCCCGGGGGAGGGGCGTCAAGATGGCGGCGGGGAGGTAGGCAGAGCCGGACGCCGCTGCTGCCACCGCCACCGCCGCCGCCGCCGTCGCCTCCGCTCCAGTCGCCTGGGGCTCTTCAAGCTTTCCGCGCGTGGGAGAAGCTGTTCTGGCGTCGGGTCCCGCGGGGAAAGTAAGTCGCTCCCTTGGTCCTTTTCTTCCACACTCGCCCTGCCGGACAGCCTCCCACTCCCACCTTTCCCGGGGTCCGTGTGCGGCCGGGCTGGGGGGGTCGCCACCTCATCCGGCTCGGGACCCCGCGTCCTGCTCGCCATCTCAGCCGCCTGGTCCTGGCCGCAGCCCCGCTGCCTTCGGTTTCCTCTCCCGTCAGCGCCGGCCCTGCGGGCGCTGCGCGTGGAGCTCTCGGCTCCGGGACCCCGCTGTCCCGAGCCCGAGGCGCTCCGCGGCCGGGGCGGCGGGGTCTGCTCTCGCCGGCCGCTCCAGAGTCACCCTGTTAGCTTCCCCGCAACACCCCGTGCCTCGAGGCCCCAGACCCGCGGGGAAAGTGAAGTCAGGATCCTTCTGAGTCCCGCTCCTGCCCGAGCCTTGCTCCCGCTTTGGGAGGAGGGAGGTTAGGAGGCGGCGGAGTCGTCTACCCCGCGTCTGCACCCCTCGCGGGCGGGTGCGCGCGGACCTCGCGCCTGGCGCGGCGAGGACGGTGCGTGGAACACGTGGGGGCTACGTTCCTGCTTCACCGGGTGCCGATCTTAGTTTAGCCTGGAGCAAGCGTGCTGCCCTCCCGGACCCTAAGGGTAGGTATATGTGGGAGGGATGGCGGTGGCGTATGGGCTTCCTCGGACAGCGGTCGCTGTACCGAGCATCTGAAGTTCCTCAAAGCAGTGTCTGCTGGTGGTTTCCCAGAGGTGGTTTGGGATCGGTTTAACCGCTGAGGAGATTTGGATGTTCTGAACCCTTGTGATTGTTTCTTTTCCTGACCCTGGCGTCCAGCTCCTCCCCTTTCCACCCGGCTTTGTGCTTCTGTTTGGTTAATGTTTGCGGACCACTAACTTGATCCTTGCATAGAGAAGCTCTTTTTATGTGCGTGCTCCGTTTACTGTGGGAAGCTTTTGTTTTTTGGGGAGTCGCCGGTTGAGAAACGTGGGAAAAGAACAGGCGAGAAAATAGAATCAAAACGACATGTTTAATACATTGCATGTCGCAGCCAGTTGTAACGGCACCCGGAAGTTTGTGTGGAACACGTGTTCTAGGAAGCTTAGAAACTGGTTCCCCTTTGACCTTTAAAAGTTGATTGTTAGCAGTGAATGTTGAGTTAAATGCGAGGCCTCCAAAGAGTCAGCCAGGCAAACTATCAAACCCCAAGTGACTGCACCAGTCAGTTTAGTACTTGGGTACAGTTCTACCAGCTGACTCTGGAGGAATCTTAATCTAACTATTCCATTCAACTCTTAAGAATTTTAAACAACACTTCACTTTCGTTGTTGGATAAATGTTAAAAAGAAGAGCCCCCCTATTCATTCATTGAATGGTATTATATGTCAAGCAGTTTTGTGTTTTCAGGGCTTGCTTTGTTGTAATTGCTTTCAAAACAGACATTATGAAAATTATTTTCATGCTTTTAAAAGTGATTTGCCCAGAGGACTTTATTTTTATTTTCTTGAGACGTAGTCTCCTGTATAGCCCAGGTTGACATCAAACTCTGTGCCATCTTCCTGCCTCAGTCTCTGGAGTGTTGACACTACAAGCTTGCACCACCAGACCCAGCCTAATGCAAAGGTTTTAGCTACTAATAGACTACATATTGTTTCCTTTAGGTTGAACTTTGAGTTGAGACTTGACTCCTGTGAAGGACAAGGACACTCAGTTCTGGTTGCATCAAGTGGAGTAACTGGGATGTCACCCTTTTCTATTTCCTATGCTTTGCCTGACTAAAGTCGGTGTAGAATTGGTTTCACATTAAGCAGCCAATTAGAAGTAAAATTATGTAATACTAAAAGTTTTTTGCAAATGTTTACTGTTACATGCTGATTGACAGATTCACCTTGATATGATTTGCACTCACCAAGTATTGAACATGACTTTAGGATACCACTGAACTTTCTGTGTAGACAGGCCTCTTGAAGGCCACAAAGTATTTAATAAGTCACATATGTTATAAAACTCATCAGATTACCTATCTTGGAAAGCATTAAGTAAATTTTAATAATCATTGGCTAATGTTTTCATTACATCTTACAGTAAGGAATGTGTGTTACATTGTCCAGTACAAAGATTCAAAAGACAACATTCTCATTTTCATGCTCTACTGTTAGTTGTTATTATTATTATTATTTTTTTGTGCCAGGGTCTTCATATATAGTCAAAGCTGGCCTTGAACTCAACAATCTTCTTGGATCAGCCTCCTAAGTGATGGGACAATAGGCATGCATCACCACACTGGCTTCTGTAATAATTCTTGGTTCTAAATATGAATCATTAAAAAAGTTGGATATAATAAAAACTAATCTGACAACCCATTGGCATGTCCTGACTGGCAGATTGAAAATGCTGGTACACTTCTCTCCAGATAGTATACTATGTAGATGCTCAAGTCCAATATGTACATGACTTACATTTGCATGTAACTTACACATCTCTCTCTAAATCTCCTCTAGATTATTTACCTTGTCTAACACACTAGAAATGCTGTGTTAGCAGTAGCTATATTATGTTATCTAAGAGATAGTGACAGGATAAAAGTTCATGTTCAGTGCAGGTTATAGTGTTTTTTTTTTTTTTTTTAATATTTTTGCTCCTTGGTCAAATCTTTGCAAAGCCTGTGACAGTAACAAGTATGGGTTTGAAAGCACAGGCTTTTGGAGAGGTGTGGTATTGAACCTCTTAGATTTTTTTTTTTTTTTTGCGGTACTGGGGTGGAACTCATGACCTGGTGCTTGCCAGGCAGGCACTTATGCCACTGAGCTAAATCCCCTGCCCTAGATTTTTAATTCTACTCCAATTCTACTTTTTGTAGTTGGTAACTTGCTATATAGTATTTCATCTTTCCAAGACTAAATTTCTCTTGTGTGACAAGGAAATAATCATAGGTTATTTTGATTATTAAAAATGAAATCCAGCCATACAGCAAGTATCAGAGGCATCTGAATTTCAGGGAGTTGTTCAAAGATGTTGTGTCACTTTTCCTTTCTGAGTCTTGTTCATTTTAAACCATTTTTTGAAATTTTATATATAATTTGCACATTCTATGCAGAGCATGTGACCCACACCTCTAATCGCAGCATGCAGGAGGCTGAGGCAGGATTGCTTCAAGTTCAGCTTGACCTCTACGCAGTAAGTTCCAAGACAGCCTGAATTATATAGGGAGACCTTGTCTCAAAAAATAAAAACTGCACATTCCTTTATGAATGTTTTTCTGCAGGTTTTGCATCTGGGGGTACTTTATTGAGCAGTCATAATCAGAGGGGGAAGTGTTGAGAAATAGGTTATGTAGTTAGGTTAAAAAATTCATTTTTTTTTTTTTTTTTGGTCGTTTTTCCTTTTTATCGGTACTGGGGATCGGACTCACGACTGCCTGCTTGCGAGGCAGGCGCTTATGCTGCTGAGCTAAATCACCAGCCCCTAAAAAATTCATTTTTTTTTTTTTAACTTCTTTATAATTAGTTTCATTTTTCTTCTGGTGGTTTTTTTTTTTTGTGTGTGTGTGTGTGTGTCTGACACAGGGTTTTGGTACACAGTGGAGGCTGGCCTTGAACTGGTGATCCTTTTGCCTCAGCCCAGGGGTCCTTCAGATTCTTACACTGTCATTCTTCACACTGGGGCTTCTTAGAAGCAAAATTGTAGCTGAGTCTTGCATCAGACATGGTCAACACTATTAGGTAAAGATAAAAGTATTTTAGTTTAGGGAATATTTTTTTTTTCGGTACTGGGGATGGAACTCATGACTTCACGCTTCAAGGCAGACGCTTATGCCACTGAACTAAATCCCCAGCCTAGGGAAGGATACTTGTTAAGTGATACACATTTTAAAATGTATGCCAGTTTCCTCAGGATGTAACTGCTTTCACTGGACAAGCTATTTGGGAGATGCTTTGTTGGATAAAAAAGAGAAATAGCATCTTACAGAACTAAAGTCAGATTAAAAGTTTGTAAGCTAGACATGATAGTGCACTCCTATAAGTGCAGCTGTCTCAGAGGCCAAGGAGAGAGGAAGGTTGCAAGTTGGTGTCCAGCTCAGGCAGTTTAGAAAAAAAGGCCAAGGATGTAGCTCTGTGTGAAGGCCCTGATTTCAGTAAAACACCTGTACACAGACGTACCCACACTCACACAAAGGACATATTCTGGGAAATAAGTGTTTTTCAGATAAATGAAAGAAGACAGATCTTGGGTCAGGGATTTAGCACCTGTCTGGCAAGTGTGAAGTTGAGTTCAATCCCCAGTATCAAAAAAAAGGACAGATCTTTTGGCGGATAATACTCATGTTTGTCATAACAGTAGTTTATAGGTAGTAGCAGTTTATTCTAGGCATTACCACATTTACTGTTCAACAAAGCAATTCTGTTCTGTCTCTTCCCACCATCCCTTCTTGAGACAGGATCTCACTATGAAGTTCAGGTTGTCCTTGAATTCATTGTGCAGCCCTAGGTGGCCTCAAACTTGTGGTGATCCTCTTTTCAGCCCCCCAATTACTGGAATCACATGCATGTGCCACCATGCCTGACTAGTTTTTAATCTAGTTGGGTTTTTTTTTTTTTTTTGTACCAGGGATCAAACTCATGACCTTGTACTTGCCAGGTAGGTACCTGGCTAGTTTTTTATTCTCATCTTAAGGTAAGGAAACTGAGTCAGAAGGTTTCACTTGGTCATGTCATATATCAATAGTGGGTGGCACAGCCAGTATCTGAATGGACATAATCAGTCTGAGCCTGACTCCCCTTAATCACAGCAGTGTGCTGTTGCCCTGCAGATAGTGCCTGCTGGGAGCCACGAAGATCCGCTTCAGTGTCTGCGGGAGGAGCCTGTTCCCTAGGGATAAGCTTCAGTGTCAGTGTTCTGGGTGGGAGCTGTATCCTCCCTTTCTGCATTTTGACCTTGTTTCTCAGCAGCCTTCTTGCCTGTTGTAGCTCTTCCTTTATGTTACTGTATCTTTTTTTCTGTTTATTGTAGAATTTTTTTCATAGGTGTTCTGTTTTGAAGTAAGTGATGTTTTCAAATACATTTACCCCAAATGTGAAACTTTTTGTTGATGGATTGTGATAGGAAGGGATCTCTGGTAATTTGTGTGTTTGTTAGATGACTGTATGGTAAATACCACCTGAGGTCCATAAACTCTTAAAGACACACTAATTTCATATTTATGTTGTATTTTATAGATTCAAAGTAAGAATTTACTTATCTTCTCAGGAATATGTCTTATTCATAAACTGAGGACAAATTGCCGGGCATGGTACACAAGCCTATAATCCTATCAGGAGGCTGAGGCAGGAGGATTGCTGGGAGTTCCGAGGCCAATGTGAAATTCACAGAGATTATATATTTAAAAAACAAACA